TATTCGGCCTTTGAAAATAAATCCCCTATAGCAAGCATCCACTTCGATCTATCTAAAGCATTTGATACAGTAGACCATAGCCTCCTTTTATACAAACTTCAACACTACGGCCTAAACGAATCTTCAATAATGCTTATACGATCATACTTATCCAACAGGTTTCAATCGGTCAAAATAGAGACTGTGGATGGCCCTGTCTTCTCTGAGACATTAAATGTCAATTTAGGAGTTCCCCAAGGATCATGTCTCGGACCCCTGCTCTTTATAATTTTTATCAACGATCTCCCAGGTTTTCTAGATGCCCTCACTTTCTTATTCGCAGATGATACCTCTACAACAGTCAGAGGGGAAGATGTACTTACTCAGTTAAAAACAACTTATAACCAAGCACACAATTGGTTCAAAGCGAATGGCTTGTCCTTGAATGAAGATAAGACTCAATTAATTTCTTATGTTCCGTCTAAAAGAGTCAAACAACCTACTGATCTTACTTATGGAAATACATTTGAAATCGACGATAACACCCAACTTAATTTTCTTGAATCCACAAATTTCTTAGGAGTATTTTTAGATCAGTACCTTACATGGGAATCCCACATTGATAATATAATTAGAAAACTCCAAAAGAGCAAATGGGCAATAAGAAATCTTGTGAAAGTTGCCTCTCTCAGTTCTGCTCTCCTATATTACCATGCTAATGTAATGTCTCACATCCGCTATGGAATCGCTGTATGGGGCAGGAGTAGCTTTACAAAACGTGTTTCCAAAGAACACCTCAAGATCATTAGAATTATATACAACAAACCATATGGAAGTGACTGTAAAGAAATAATGTCATCAGAGAGACTGTTTACAGTGACCTCTTTATACATCTATGAATGTATTAAATATGCAGTAGAAGGAGAAATAATAAAGCCGGCTGATCTATTTCCCACACACAACTACAACAGCAGACACTTCTTCATCCCCAACAATTCCACCAAGTACAAAATTTCTGAAAACAGTGTTAAGTTTGCTTCTATTCAGCTGTTCAATGCTCTCCCTCTAAATATTAGACTTCACTTTAAGAACTCAGAGATCAGCAAATTTTTTTCACATTTGAAATCGTTTCTTTTGGCTGAATCCTTTCAAGATCTCTCAGAGTTTTTCACCACTGCTTAACTTCCTAACTTAATGTTCTAGTATTGATAACTCACGGTATTCACTCTCTCTGTTTTCCAACTTGCTGTTATTGCAGGTTATAAATTTATTATAAGATAAATTTGTTTTAACGTCTTTTTTGTAACTAAATACCATGTTGACTAGTACAATAGCCCCATATGGTGGCTTTATGTATGTTATGTAAAAAATAAAAATAAAAATAAAAAATAAAATAAAAATAAAATAAAAATAATGCTATATGGAGGGAAAATATTATTTTACCAGTGTTTATGTCCCATAAGATCTGGTGTATTAACAAATTTTACCGGAAAACATTCATAATTTTACTAAAAAATAAATACATTCTTCTTGTAGGAAATTTGGCAACATGAAAATGCTCATATGACGTTTTGCCTTGACACGCGCACCACTGGAGACCTGACTTGTAGAATTGCTTCGAAGCATGCACTCGTGCTTTTCACCTACGCCTCACTATCTAGTTCTCTCGTTTCATCCCTGAGTTCTACCAGCATAAACCACGTATCTCTACGGAGCTCCCATTGGAATTAACGCGATTTTTCGGATAACAGGGCATGAGTTTATTACAAATTTTGCCCTCCACGAGCAAGATCAAGGAAAAAATTTATACGATGAACCCTGTTTCTAACAGATTCCTATGTGATTTAAGGCTCACGTAAATACGGTCGTATTCTTTATCCGGTTGATGACGAAACGAAACGTGTTTACGAAATTCTTGAAGACTTTCAGCTCACGTCAAGAGCGGACGCTGCGCAAATATCGGAGCTGTAAGTGTTGGAAATAAGGACACCTTCTTTGCTCTAATATTTTCCGCGAATTTTAGCAGTCATACTTGTACACGTCGGCCTCGTTATTGCGTCGGAAGCGCCTTCGAAATTTAACGATGCAACCGGAATAACTTCAATTGAGAAAGCTACGCGCCAAGTGCTGCACTGCTGAGTTGACATAGAAAGCATTCGCGCCAAATTCTTTACAATAAAATAATATTTTTGAGAGGAGTCGTGGATTTCTCTTGCCAAACTTTTCTGAATAGCTAGATTAAATTGCGAGTTAAAGCCTCTGAAAACTTTAATGATAAAAATCCATGAGTTCCAGAAAATCCGTATTTTATGATAATAAATTTAATAACGCTTGGACTTTTTTCCAAGCAGAGCAGAGCCGTTCAGTTGTTTCCCTCGTGATGATCACTCACTTCTTATTTTACGTACAAATATGAATTTTTCCTGTGTACGCTTTCCGTTTATGAGACAGCAAGTGTTCACAAATATTGTGGGATGCCCAGGAGAAAATGATATTTGAAGAACTTACGTAGAATAGTATTTGAAGTGCATCAGGATTGACTCATAAATAAAATGGATAGAATTCCGGTAACCAGATATGCATTCAAACACGCTTTTAATATGACCTTTAAGAGCGTTGAAAATCAATTACGTGGAGAATAGTTTTAAATGACGAAAAATTTTTGACGGAATACAGAATACGTCGTGTCAAAACCGAAAATTCTGGTTGAAAATATATTATGTTTTCAAGCATTTATGGTCAAAAAACGAAAGCAGGGCTGTCGGGACAAATGATTGATAACTGGGGAGTAAGAAAGCAGTTTTGTGAAGTAATTCATAGCGCTTCACTACTAACATGCTTTTGGATAAGCATTTGATCAACATGATAGGAAGGTAGGAGTGGATTTTTCTCCTAATAAAATTATTCAAATTTAATTGAACAAGTGCAATTTTTCTACAGGTATAAAATGAACAAAAGAGCATCAATAAAGTAGCATGCAATACCCCACAAGCTTGACATCAGGCCATGCCCGTAGCAATCATGTCATAAGTCTTGCATGTAAAAACTTTAAGTCATATGAGAGTCCTAAGGAAACATTAGTGCTGGGCTCTTAGAACTTTATGAAGTTCCCTAACTTGAAGCTTTGAGCTATTCTAATACTTAAAAAGAACTTGATATCTATTCAAGCAATCTTTTGTATTTTATTTTGGAGCCTATCGTGGAATAACGAAACTGAAACCTGCCCATCAATTCGTATTATGGTGTCAATCGTGTTAAAAAGGAGCTTTTTATAAGATTGTGAAATCCGTTGGTAGTGTTGGCGCAGAATTTTAACTACAAACTGTGGTTAAAAATGACTTTTTCAATCTCAATTGCAATCCGTGGCGGTAATGGCAATATAATAAAATTCAATCGTAAATTTTTGTGATAGCAATTTAAAAGTGCAAAAATTCCACAGCTCAAAAAAGATCGCATGAGTTTTGAACAAAAATAATTTGCAAGTAATTTGAAGAATATACAATTCTCAAACCTTTCTTGAAAAAGTAACAATTTTATGACGATTGAACGGTGCAGAAAAGTGCGAAAATTTGATTTCTTGCGCATCTTTTTCAATTATCTTGGAAAAAATTATCAAATTTCCATTACGGAATGCAATATCATTGGCGCCGAAGTCTTGGATTGGAAAGTTGCCATTGACAGGGCTCCATTTACACGAAAGGTGGGGTGAACCAACACTTATTTACACCCAGAAGAATTTCAGGTTGTTTCGATTTGAAATTTTTCCAAGAAAAATATCACTTCCAACAAGAATTGGTCATATGCGTGTGCAACTTTCGGATTTGAAGGGACCCAGCCCTCTCGGTCGTGTTCCTTTATGTTTTGGTTAAAGTTCTTGAATTGAGCAACATCTAATTGCACGCATATTACGTGCGGTAATAAAAGTAAGAGTAACTTTATCGGGAGAGCGTGGACATGTCATTTGATCAGAGACCTTAGCGCCCAAAAAAGTGGCTTACCAAAGATATTTTCTGAAAACTTTGGTAAAAGCTGAGAATAATGAATTAAAAATCTTCAGCTGATTTCATCGATTTTTAAGAACGAATTGTGATTCTAATAGTCCCATGAGATCACTGGTCAGAGGAATTGTTCTTTTTGATCGCCGTTTAGGATCTCAACTTTATTGAGAGAGGTATCACTATAAACCTGATGGATTTTTGGGTCTTTGCACATGTCCATATACCGTTAAAAATATATCTCCCCTGAATACAGTAGTGTGTTTACTCAGCACTTTTGCAAATAATGATTTGTTGCCCCAACACACCCACGTGTTTAGTTAACACGATATTGTGCCCAATTCGGACTTCGTAACCGCGACTCAAAGAGCTCAAACACAACGGTGTGTTACAGTCTTAATAAACACTATGCTATATTCAGTTTTTTTTTAACGATGCACTCTCCCAATACAGGCACTCTGATAAGAATCAAGGCATCTCTCCCGTGAAGACAGCTCATAAAATACGTAACGTTGAAAGAGTTACGCTAACGTTACGTTACGTATAACGTTTCAATAGTTTTTGATTCTGTGGAACGTTACGTATTATATAAACAGCTCAGCGGGCTTATTATTGGAATTGATAGACACAGCAATGGACGAAGAAGACCAAGAGAAAATGAGGGGATCCTATTAGTTAAAACCAGCGGGTGTTATATACTAAGAAGAGCAAAATGATGGACTAACTTTAGGGTCCCTTTTTGGTGGCCCTTAGTTAGTCTGTTGCAACCATTCGCTTTCACCAATAAGATCGCTAAATTTTCTCTTTGTCTATCGTTTTATATATCCATTTCAATAACAAACCCGGCGAACAGAGGAACGAGCTAATAGAAGAAGTCGAACATGGAATTTTTGGCTGAGATTTCAAATTTTCATGTTTATTTCGTCACAAATTCAATTTCAAGGAGTGTTCCTGAAAGAAAATTTCACAAAAAAACCAACGAAACCATTCTAAAACTTTTTTGTTTCAGAAAATATAAGCTTTCAAAGTTTCCAAATCATGTCCGAATTCTCCTATCGACTCGATCCACAGTGCGGCGGTGAGAGAACAGTGAAACGAAGGCTAGAAGGTTCGGAAAAAAGCGAAGGAGTTAAAGAGACGTGCAAGGCACCCTCTTGTTGAGCCTATGCTAGACCTGCGTCACCTGAGTCGTCGTGTAGTGGTTGGTTTGGTTGGTCAGCTCGTTATGCTGGTTGTTTTGAGGCAGCGGAAACCACTTTGGCCGGAAGAGCTTGTCGAAATTGCTCCGGAACTGTCTGGACATGGCGCAGTACAAAATGAAATTGATCGCCGAGTTGATCAGCGCCAGGATATCCATCACCTCCCCGAGCTGGTTGTAGCAGTCCTCGAAGAAGGGCGGCCCTAGAACCATCGAGAGCAACCCTAGAATCCCTTGCGGGAACTCTGTGAGAAGGAACAACAACAAAACAGCCAACAACATCCTGGTCGTCCGGTCGGTTTGTTTCTCCTTCTCGACGAGTTTGCTACTCTTGTTGTTCTTCTTGCTCGTGGCCTGCCCGGAGCTCAGCTTTTCCCGCCTTTTTTTCGTGTCGATGAGCGCGCAGATCAACCTCAAACTGAGGATCGTCAGCGCTATACAGGGGATTATCTTAATAACTATACTGTACATCCAGAAATTCAGATCGCTCAAAAAGTGATTGTTCGCGCGACCTAGCTCGCTTAAATTCACAACGTAGATAGTTACGTTTTCAACGGTGTACGCCGAAGAATTCTTAAGCGAATTTATAAGTCTCGTATTGTTTATATTTATGGAGGCGCTGTAGCTGGAATTATTGTCGGTGAAGAATAGCTCTTCCTGGGACTCCAGATTGAACGCCAGATACAGGGGGATGCATAAAATCGGACAGATTATGTACCCCAATAGAATGAGTGTCGTTGTGGTGCGCATACTACACCACTGGCGATTCCTCTGCGGGTAGCCCACGGCGATGTACCTCCAGATAGCGAGAAGGAGAGTCAGCCATATGGAGACTGTGTGGCAGACCTGGGCGAAGTTTGAATGGAACAAAACGAACAACGACCAGTAGTAGTTGTAATGTTCCCGACGGGACTGTTTCCGGATGTACATGTGCCAGGAAAACGGGATGTACTCGATCATGACCAGGAGGTCGGCGATGGCCAAGCCGGTGAGGATGGAGTTGGTCGGGGAGCGCATGTCCGGTCGGGTGAGGACGATGATGTTGAGGAGGTTGGCGATGGAGCCGAAGAGACAGACCACCAGGCTCATGTAGCCGTGGTAGGAGCGGTACGTGTTGTGGAACCGGTGTAGTCCATCGCCGCAGTAGAACTCCTTGCTGTACGTTGAGTTTGAGATCGTCGTTACGTTTGACGAGATCATTGCCACCTCTCTTGTATACCTGTCCTAGCTAACTGATTATTTTACATCGTTTTGCAATGATTCAAGATTTTCCTAATGGAAATGTACTTGCTGAAACAATGGACTCCATTACTAACCGACGAGTGTGTTTCAAGAATGGTCGACAGTAAAGTCAAATTTTCTTACATTTAGACTTGTCTGCCAGGCGCGAGAACTCAGCGCGTTTCGATTCGTTAAAATAGTTTAATTTTACTGAGCTTAATTGAATTTTTGTGAAAAAATATTTACTGAATACTTTCGAGTTGGGTCAAGTTTGGTACCATTGCCAATTGATGAACTGATTTAAATATGACGAACAGTACTTTCAAATTTTCTGAAACTCACGATATTCTATTTCATCGCTTGCTTTTGATTCAGCACGTAGTAATTCGTTAAATTGATTTATTTTTACTGAAATGAATTAAAGTCTGATTGATTAATTCAGTTACATCAATTTTCTGGGCACTATCATTGTCTTTCAAAGCTGATTAGTTGCTGATATAAAAACCATATATTTTTTGGGAAACTTACGACTTTTGACATTGGTCGTGAGTATCAAAAGGCACTCTTGATTATTGAAATGTCATTTTTTTTTCTTTAAATTTTTTGCGAGCAATCTTTCGATCTAAGTATCGATTTCAAACTGATATACTTTGTGACTTTGTCTTTAACGACTTCATTAAAACATTTACTGTAACAGTCTTAATTTTTCAGGCTTAGAATTTCCAATCACGTACCTTTTCTGCCCCAACGTTGAGGTCGAACGATAAAATCATGCCTAAAGTTCTCAAAAATTCTTAAGCTTTCGACAAATCTTCTTTTAATCATTTCCGAGAGTTCTCGAGACCTCATCTTCCAATTAGAAAGTCCCTATCCATGGTGGTTGGACCTAAGTGTTGCTTGACATAAGTTTTATCTTAAGTTCATCCAATGTACTTTACTTTAAACTGCAGTGTCTGCCAAAGAGACCTCTATTTATGTTTCGATCATTTACACAAAATATTTTGATCAAAATGAATTTAATTTGCGTCTAAAGCTTAGTGGTCACATACTTTCAAAAATAATTATATCAGTCAATTTTCCAAATAAATTATGAATTAAGTGTGCCGTTCAAGACTTGTTCTTTCAGTACATGATATTCTATCAATTTAGAGTTAAAAATATACATCTCAACCATTGAGAGACGCCCATGCGCTCTCTTGAGATAAAAGTTGATTAATTTTAAAGAATATTTATTTATACAGCGTTCGTCCTAGATGATGGAAAAAATAATGAAATATAAATATAAGAACTCACACTTTCGGGTGAAATTTTATGAATAGACCAAATTCTGTTTTTAATAATACTTGCGAATCTCAAATTCAATTGAAGGTTTCCTCGAGAAATGATCGCTCAGGCATGAGAAACCTTAGGGATGGCAAATATGACGATGCTGGGCGTCACAAATATTCTTAAAGCTTTTCCTATAAATGGAAAGGAAAATATTTGTATCCTGCTTGACTTTTCCCTTTGAAGCGTTGATTCAGCGTTGGATTGAAGCGACTCTCCTACATTGCAAGAGGCGTTCCGTGGACGAGGGCGGCACCAGTTGGCGAAGCGCAGAATTCGCGAGTCTGTACGTGATGCAAGACGATGTGCTCAGCGGTTGAGTGGCAATCTTCAATCAACGCAGCTCCTGCAACAAAAAGCATCGCACCTGTTACTGCAGAAGTCACGAACATCGCAGTCAAACAGGATTCAGGAGCAAAGTTATTAAGACAAACCGACGGTCAACATTCTTCCTCGTTTTTTTAAGCTTCCAAATCCACCAAATTCTTCGTAACCAGAGACAATATATTTTGGAGACCTCGCACTAACAATTTAAACAATGGAATCGAGCGATACGAAATTTTAAATCGGAGGTCATCGCTTTCTCCTATTGATGATTGCTAAGCAACCTGTCAAGTAAGAAACCTAATAAAATCTGCCTAATAATGACTGATGAATGCCAGGGTGAACTTTTTGCTTCGTTTGCTTTAAGGGTTTCCGGTCAATATTTCAAAATTAGATTTGTTGACCTAATTTGCAGAAAATTCTGCCTCCATGGACCCGGTAGACTATTCCCGTGAATGATCTCAAATGGACCGCGTTTAGCAGAAAGGAACCAAGCCACATCAGCCAGAATCTGGGCACTTTTATTTTTTATAAGTGAGCGTATGTGCGGATTCCTTTGAAAATGTCAAGAATTTGGTTCACACTGTGCAGAAACTTTACTGAAATTTGCACAAAAGTCAGCACAGCCGTTTTCTTGTGAAAAATTAAAGTGCAAAATTAAATTTGGCAATCGCGGATGTGGCTTGGTTCCTTTCTGTTTAACGCGGTCCAAATTGCCAAAAATTTTAATACTCTGCAATATTAAATGTGGGCAAGTTTATAGCACGCTGCGGCGCGGCGCGAGGTGCTGCCAGAGCGGAACGCGCACTGGCGCCTACAAACCTAAATGGATACTTCACGCATTGCGTAATGCGTGAAGTATCCCCTTAGGTTTGTAGGCGTTAGTGCGCGTTCCGCGCTGGCAGCACGCGGCGCGATGGGATGGGTGCGATGATTTTAAAACTGCCTGGTGTCGAAGAGGCAAGGCAAGAGGATGTGGCTTGGTTTGTTTATGCTTAACGTAGTCCAAAAAGGTTGTCATGCATCGTTGGTGAACTAACCGAAAAATATAGAAAAAGGAAAAAGGTAGCTCTGTGACAGGAACTTTCACACGCACATCCTCATTATCATCAGTAATGATACAGAGTAACTGATGCCCTAAATGAACCCTTAATTTTTCAGGGACGAGATTACCATAATTTCAAAACTAGATTCACCGAGCAACGCCGGCACCGGGTGAGAGTCAAGGTACTTGTAGGCGTCTGCAGAGTGTAATGTCGGGCCCTTTTCAGCCGGCGAGGCGAGAAAAATAATTAATGGTGCAGGCGCCGGCTTACCTTTGATTAATTGCTACTTAACGTTGTCTTACGCTCTTTAGGTTCAGACCGGGAACCTCTAAACTTTCGCCCCTCATGAGAGCTTTTTAAGGGCGAGTGTGCTATGTACTCCACACACCGTGCAAAATTCAAATTAAGTTCACGCGAGGAGGGCTCGTGAGTCGGGATGAGGTTATCATGAGAGTGAATAGATTTCACAACCAAATTTACAGTTTGGAACAGATCCGCTGGAGATAATGGTGACGTGAGATATGTTAAAAACCGAGCAGCCTGTAACAAGGCTTATTTTTTTTTAAAAAAAATGTAAAGCTGCGGTTAACAAGGGTAGAAAAGAATACATTCACCGAGACGTTTTGGTTGGTAACACCGCGGCCTTCTTCGGTTGAATAAAAATATATAAAAATTTAAAAAATAGTACCAGGTTTTTCCTCTCCAAACGAGAAAATGGTATGAAGCAACTAACCAGATAAGCAAGGATGTATATCGACGGTGTAAGTCGGCAATCACATAACTCGGTTTGCGACGTCGCAGACTTCCTGTCATACTTTATTTTTTAAACGGAAAACTACTCAACTGCAATTATTTGAAACTGCAGTGATTTTTCTTCTCTGTGCGAAGAAAATTCTGCATAAATTTCAAAGAATGATGTCAAATTGTTCTCATTTAAAAAAATAACAGAGAGGCAGAGATTTTCAGACAGCGCAGACGAGTTATGTAATTGCCGACTTACACCGGCGATATGTAGAGTAGCGGGTGTGGTATTACGCCCTAAATCACGAACTTGAAGATTGTGTCTTAAAACCGTGTGGTTTTTTGGGTGATTATTTTGGCAGTTGAAAATTCATTAACTTTGACGAATTAATTTGGAAATTTTCCTCAAGTTATCCGGACCAACACCGAAAAAAAGTGACGTTGATTTAACATTCTGAATGTAAAAAAAAAAATGAGCGAGAACTTATAAAGTAGTAAGCACTAAAGTAACTGTTGTAACGGGTAATTCAGTATTTTATAAGAAATCGCACTTTTGTTTTACATCCAGAATGTTAAATCAACTTCATTTTTTTTTCGATGAAATTATGAGTAGAATTTTTCGTAAAATTTACAAAAACAAACATTAGTATTCTGAGAAATGTGTATATTCTTCGGGGAAATTTGGCAACGTTTGAATAAACTTCTACGCACACAGAGTGGCATCGCATTACAAATCTCATGCGCGAAAGCAATTGCAGAGTAAACAATTTCAAATGAGGATCTGCTTGGTACCACGATAGTTGATAGGATATTAGCGCGGAGTGACGGAAAATAAAAACGCCTTCAATCAATCGAATAGGCACACCGAGCTCCCAGGAGGTTGAATAGTGGTATCACGCCCCTTAGCACGTATCTTAAGATTTTGTTGTACAAACCGTTCAGTTTTCTCCTGCCGTGTTGAAGAAAAACGTCACATGAGCCTTCAGACATCGCCATATTTATGTCAATAAATGATAAAGTTACTTGGAAAATCGTGAATATTTTTCTTCCACTTTTTTTCAACAACTTCCTTCATGATTTAATCTAAAGTATCTGAAAAATCCGAGGAAAAATTTGCATAACTTTCCATTAAACACATTCATCAGAAGTCATTTAGCGACTCTTGAATGTTTTTCCTGAGCACGGCAGTTCGGGTGATTTTGTAACAGCTGTAACGGTTATTTTAGACAAATTACTGCAGTTGCTAAGGACTGCGGTAGACCTTTCAGAGATTTATTGCAGCTGCACTAACAGATTTTAAAGGATCGTATTCTGATCTTCCTCTCTTACTATGACCACTTTCCGTTCATTAGTTAGGTCTCTCTCTTCAAGAATTACACATCGAAAATATCGATGAAGTTCAAAATGCGTATCTTAATTGCGAAGTTTCAAAATGTTTGATTATTATTCATATTCTTTAGAAAACAAATTACGACAAAAACAAATTAAGCAATTATTCTCGGATTTTAAGTTAGTGAAGAAAAGTCATTATTATTTTTTTGGAAGGAACTAATTTCTAAATTATTTTTATGAATTTTACCGAAATTTTGTAAAAACTGTAATTTTCATATGCTTGTTGAAGGCCTAATCAGACCTACTCCAATTATCATCCGGGACCTCCCTCAGTACAGGAGTTGAGAGATGAACCACTGCGAATACGACTCTCAGATAGGTTTGTTTCTTTGTTGCAAAGTTTGCAAAATTTTTAATTCACTCATAAATACGAAGATAAATTGGAAGAAGTTGAAGCTAACTAAAATAATTGAACAGAGTTTAAGAAAAAGAAATCAAGTTGCATGAAGCTGTATTTTTTTCGATAAGATTCAGAATCATAGATATGGTTCCATGTCTGCCTAAATCAACACTTGAAAAAAATTCCTCGGTTCTGTTACCTTTTCATGGGAAAAAATATGTAACTGGTTGAGCTCAAAAGTACTCCTGACTCAGGTTTCCCAAACTGTAAATTCAGAGAACTACAGAAGACAAGGGATGAAAATATTAGAAACGCGTTAACGATTTCACGCGACTTATGGGTCTTTTCATCTCAAAGTCAACAAAATTTCCTCCGCTTTTTCGCGCGGGATGTCTCAGTAATTGACGCGAATAGCTCAAGCCTCGGCTGGAACTACGCAAAACGGGGGATCACTTGTTGAATGCTCCCTCCACCCCGACTCGAAATTCAAAAACCGCGCATCTGCCCGGAATTCCAATCCGTAGTTGAGTCGTTCTTGCCGGTTCCTTACTCGCGCGTCGGTCGACCGTTCACTTGCGGGCTGAGGCTTATTAATTGGCCCTTTTGAAGACAGTTCAATCCGAAGCTACGCACAGTGGATCGAGTCGATCGGAGAGGTCGGACATGACATTTTTGACTAAAATTGCAAACATTTATGTCTACACTTTGGGAAAAAAACACATTGGTTCCAGAGTCCAGACTCTTAAAAACATCGACAAGAAAAAATACTCTTGATTCAATCGGATTTTTGCTTAAATCAAGAACCAAGCCTCTTAATTTGAGCGAATTTCCTTTTGATTTAAGCAAAAATCTGATTGAATCAAGAGTGTTTTTCCTTGTCAATGTTTTCAAGAGTCTGGACTCTAGATCCAGTGTGGTTTTTTTTCCAGTGCATCCTCACATTTTAAACTTTTAGGTGATTTGATGGACGCCATATTTTGTGTCGAAACAACATGCGATATATTGCATCGATTGGTTCCATTTTTTCAGCTACTCATAATTTTTCTCGAATTTTGGGATAGCAATTCTGTTGTCAGGAGACTAAAGAATTCACTTACCCATTTTGACAAGAAAATTCAATGTGATAAAGGCGTGGCTTTCTTAGAGAGAAAATATCGCACTCGAGTGCAGTTTCGATATCAGTATCGAATGCAATATTTTTCTTCTAAAAAACCACGCCTTCATTAAGTTAAATTTGGTTTAAATTGATTTTAGTATTTTTTCCAAGAGATGGCATCGATATCTCAATGAGCCGTAGTTGAGTTGAAGGAACTATACAAAAACGAATAAATAGGAAAAAACCAAGAAGTACGCAATCTTTGGTTTTAACCAATTTGTGCATCGATCTTCTAGGGTCAAATACGTCCAATTTTGAGCGTTTAGTTGCGCGCATACCACGCTGCAGCACAGTAAAAGCACAAACCATAAATGAAAAAATTAAAGGGCTTTGAAAATCATTAAATT